GAGGCTATCGAGCTCGTTAGCATCATAATCCTCTCCAAGCCGGGGATCGATCACCTGCTTTGCATCCCCTTTTTCTAGTATAGGCTTAGCCTAATATCGTAATTTTAGTAAACATATTAGTACAATGTACATACTTTATATACACTACAAATTCGAAAACAAGCCATACTTAAGGATTTTCGAACATTTACCCAACTATGCAAGCTCTGATGAGAACCATCCACAGGTTTCTTTCCAGAAAGGATCTCGAGTAAAAATACTCCGAACGCAAACACGTCCGTTTTCTCATCGACGACCCCGTGCATAAAGTACTCCGGCGCCAGGTGCCTTCATCACATCAAAGTCGATAAACCAATNAAAAAAAAAAAAAAAAAATGATGCAACTTTCTGTAACTTCCACAAATTTTATTAATAAGAGATAATTTTCTATTTGTACCCAAATGTTCCTTCTATAGGAGCTATGGAATGATGGCTCCACTGTGAAGGAAGCCATTTTGCCAAACCAAAGTCAGATATCTGAAAACAGAGGAGAAAATAACTCATTAAATGAACATTAGTGTTGGCTAAAAATCTTTGATTAATTTCATTAGAGAAGCAAAAAAGTGTACCTGTGGTTCAAAATCTGCAGCTAATAAAATGTTGGAAGCCTTAATGTCCCTATGAATTATTCTTCTTGGACAAGTTTTGTGCAAATAATGTAGGCCCTTGGCAGCCCCAACTGCAATTTTGAACCTTGTTTTCCAGTCCATAGGAGCCATTTTCTCATCTACACAACAAAAATACAGAATTTTTTTTTCAAAATTTGAAACAAATTACACAAGACACAAATCACAATAACTTCCTACCATGGAGAAGTGAAGCAACAGAGCCCCTTGATGAGAACTGGAAAATTAGATAGAGCCCATTATCAATACAACACCCAAGAAGTGAAGTAACATTTGGATGTGAAACATGCCCAAGTGTCCCAATTTCTGTCAGAAACTCCTTCTCCTTCCTCTCATCATTTGTTGTTTTTGTCAGCCTTTTCACAGCAATTGCTTGCCCATCTTCAAGAACCCCTCTGTAAACCTCTGCATAACCCCCTTTCCCAACCATGTTGTCTGAAGAAAAAAAACCCAAATTCAAGAAAAGGGACCAAAAATTTAACCCAAAAAGATGAGATTTTTAACTCAAAAAACAAGAAAATGAAAGTGAAACCTGAGGAGAAGCCATTGGTGGCAGAAAATATTTCTTCAAAGGAGAAGCATTTCCAGGTGGGCTTCTGAAACTGCTGCCCATTTGGCTGCTTAATAATCTCTTCACTGCTGCTACTGTACTCAATATCTTTAGGCAGATCTTCATCAAAACTGTGTCGTTTTAGGGAAAACAGCCTCTTCAAGCTGCCTGTCCTAATGTATCTCATGATTCTTTTATCTCTCTGTACTTGTGAAAAAAAAAAAAATCAGATTTACAGGCCAACAACAAATATGAGAAAGTACAGAATGGTGTTTGCTACTCAAAACCCTCACCACAAAGACATGTTGGGAACTAAACAGGTTTTTATTTTACATGTAATGTAAAATAAAGGGTCCATTGTTGTATGTCTTATGAAGGATTTTTTTTTTTTTTTTTTTTTAATTATTTCATGAATTTATGATTGTATTGGTGACAGGTGCCTAAATTATTAACCAAACACATGTATACTTAACCCAAGTAGTACCCAACCAGAAATGATTGGGGGTGGTTGGCTTAAACAAGCTTTTAAGCAAAAACATGGGAACAAGATTTGAGTATTTGCAAAACTAATTATGAAGTTCGAAAATGGGTGTATTGGGTATTGGTTAAACCAAAACCACCAATATGTTATTAGTAGAGTTCTATTCGAAATAAAAGTTCCGTGAGTTCGATTCGTTAAAGTTCGAGTTCAGTTCAGGTCGACTCGTTTATCGCTCGAACTCGTTGAAACTCGTTTAGGTTATAAGTAGGACTCGGCTCGATTCGAAAACAAAAATTTCTATATAATTTTCTAACTTCGACTAATTAAGGCTCGAGCTCGATTGCTGACTCGCTAAGAGCTTGACTTGACTCCCTCGGCTCGATATGTCCATAAGGACCATAACTGTTAGGTGAGGGCTCGATATACAAACTGAAATATTATACTTTAAAAATTAATATGACAAAGATTATGACATTATAGTATACGTGTGTACTTTCATTGAAAAAATGACGAATTACTCATCTACGATTAAAGGAAGAATAAATAAATATGACGTGGATTATAAGGGTGACGAGGATTCCTACATGTGTGCTGATGCAATCTTAATCGGTGCCACGTCAATTTTTTGATCGGGCATGTCAGAGTGGATGGTCGGAAAGTTATTTTGAGATAAAATTGCAATACTTAATTAATGTTTGATATTTTGTTGCAAAATTGAAAAAGTTGAGTTTTATTTGCAATTAAACAAAGTTTTATAGGAAATTAACCCGATAATTTATTTAAAACATAGGCAGTGCAGACAAGACACATCTCATGTTGAATTGATAATTAAAGGGCAATAATATTGAAATTTGCCAACTTTATATAAAATTGAATAGTCCAAATTTAAAGTTGAATTGGAAAAATAAGTAAAGGATAATTGGAAGTAGCAAATGGATGAGGTACAATCTGACCCATGTACAGTTGTATTGAATATGAATTATCTATAGAGGTGTACATTATGTGTGACACATGCAGAATTGAATTTTGCAGCCATTGATTTGATTCTGTGGAGCTTACAACACTGGTGAGTTGGGTTTGAAATTTATAATTTCATGCATAGCATTATAATGAAAAGATCGTCCATCAAGATTGTGAAACTTTAAGCGCAACTCATGCTCGATCATGACTAAAGCGTTCGTGAGTCGCTTAATTCGTCTGCAACTAATTTGAACTATGATTCAATGAACTAAAAAAGTGTCCTATGAAAACAACAATAAAAAATTTAAAGATATAATTAACCAATAAACCCATTACATTGTTGAGTAACAAACATATTAATTGAAAGTTATCACTGGAATTACTACAAAAATATCCTCTATTTACACAATTTTTTTCTGAAGAATGCAAAACATGGCAGCATGTGGTGGAGGCTCTATACAAATAGTAAAGTTAAATATAATCATACATTTTTAATATAGTTATATAATTTTATACTCAAACATTATATTTGAAAAACCTAACATTAATAAAAGTACTATATTTCATAAATTATGTACATTTTATGTATAACCAGATCAATAATCAAATAAGCCCAAACTTTGCTTGTGGTGACCATAGAATATATATGGTCCATGCCCACCAATGAACTTTGCACCTACTATCATAAAACCCATATAGTAAAGCTGGTAGATTTTTAATATTGGTCCTAGGGAATGTTTGGCCTTAAAAATGGTGATTTTGATCTATGTGTGAGCTTTTTTGGTTGAAAAATTGAAATTAAAAAAAAAAATAAAAAAAAAAAACAGTTTAAAAGCGTTTGGTTTATGGAGTAGTGTGAAAGAAGGTATATATGCCTGTGTTAGTGTTTTGCATTTTTTTTTTTTTTCGAAACGATAGATATTATAGCTCAGAGAAAGTACAGTAATTACAAACGACGGGTTACCGAACCTAACACCCCAAGGAGGGGAAATGGAGAATCACCAACTGTGGTGTTCTAGACAAAACAACAAAAACACTAAGGGAGTGAGGACATGCTCCGGCAGAGACAAACCCTCTGGGGCCGGAGTATGGCATTCAATCCCGAACAAAAAGGTAATGACCACTGATCAAAGATCCTAGCCAATACCGGACAAACCAACTAAACCAATAACATCAAAGGAAGAAGAACCCTAAAAAGCAAAAGCAGCTGATACAGCCCAACCAAGGACCCAAAACCAGAAACCAAACTAGAAAAAGCATCTAAGTAAAAGGAGCAGTAGGAGCACCACAAGCTATGGCAGAGTCAGACCAGTCACTGGGGGCAGTTGAAATTACATGCATCTCACTTCTTCTGATATTTTGGAACACAATCTGATTCCTAGACTTCCAAATATTACAAAGGATGCAAGCAGTTAGTTTTGCATTCATCGGGGAAATTTGTATAGTATAAATGTCTTTCTCTCTTATCAATACATTGCTTCATAGGTAGTGCAATCTAATTCAAAGCACAACCAAGTCTTCCACCAAGGCACAGCAAACAGATTCAAGGAACATTACTGAGAGCAAGCATAGGAGAATGGAACAAAATATCAATCAAATTTAGAAGAATAAGGGCAAAATAAGATCAATCATCGGACAATATTTCGACTCGTTAAAGCTCAAGCTCGACTCATTAATATTGATAAATGAGTGGAGTTCAAACTCGATTACCGGCTCATTTAGACTCGGCTTGACTCCCTCGGCTCGATTTGTCCCTATCTATTAGGTAAGGGCTCGATATACAAACTGAAATATCATGTGTTAAAAAATAATGTAAACAAAATTATGAGATTTTATAGTATGCGTAACGTGTGTATTTCTATTTTAAAAAATGATGGACTATTCATCTAACGATTATGCTGTCTCACGCAATAATTTATGTAAAACTTATGCAATGCAGAGACGAGAAGAGGCAGCTCAATTGGTAGCACTCTTCACATGATGCCTATAGGTCACAAGTTCGAGTCATATAGGTGGTAAGTGGGGAACCACTCTCGAAGACAAAACACATCTCATAGTTCAATTGATAATTAAAGAAGGCAACAATAATAAATGTTGCCAACTTTATATAAAATTGAATAGTCCAAGTTTAAAGTTGAATTGGAAAAATTAATAAGAAAAAGATAATTGGAACTAGCAAATGGATGATGTACAATCTGACCCAATGTACAGTTGTATTGAATATGAATTATCTATAGAGGTGTACATTATGTGACATGCAGAATTGAATTTTGCAGCCATTGATTTGATTCTGTGGAGCTTACAACACTGGTGAGTTGGGTTTGAAATTTATAATTTCATGCATAGCATTTTTGTTTAATGTGTTCAACTGATTTTTCTCTGTTTGGTTTAGCTATCAAAGGATTTTTTTTTCTTTTCTTTTTTTTTTCTTTTCAAGTTAGTTGAATATATCAACCATAATTTTTAGTTGACCATAGTTAAGGTTACATTTACATATCTCAATTCGTCATTCATCAATTAAATCAAAATGTTTTAGTTAGTTGGGATGAAAAATAAGAAAAACTTGTTGTACGTTGGTAGAAAATTCAACATACCCTTCGAATTTCCCCAAACAACGCATTATAATGAAAAGATCGTCCATCAAGATTGTGAAACTTTAAGCGCGACTCATGCTTGATCATGACTAAAGCGTTCGTGAGTCGCTTAATTCGTCTGCAACTAATTTGAACTATGATTCAATAAACTAAAAGTATCCTATGAAAACAACAACAAAAAATTTAAAGATATAATTAACCAATAAACCCATTACATTGTTGAGTAAAAAATTTACACTTTTTTTTTTCTGAAGAAAGCAAAACATGGCAGCATGTGGTTGAGGCTCTGTACAAATAGTAAAGTTAAATATAATCATACATTTTCAATATAGTTATATAATTTTATAAACATTATATTTGAAAAACCGAACATTAATAGAAGTACTATATTTCATAAATTAGGTACATTTTATTAAAAAAAAAAATATATATATATATATATATATATATATAACTGTATAACCAGATCAATGATCAAATAAGCCCAAACTTTGCTTGTGGTGACCATAGAATATATATGGTCCATGCCCATCGATGAACTTTGCACCTACTATCATAAAACCCATATAGTAAAGCTGGTAGATTTTTAATATTGGTCCAAGGGAATGTTTGGCCTTAAAAATTGTGATTTTGATCTCTGTGTGAGCTTTTTTGGTTGAAAAATAAAAAATATAAATATAAATTAAAAAAAAAAAAAACACTTAAAAAGCGTTTGGTTTATGGAGTAGTGTGAAAGAAGATATATATGCCTGTGTCAGTATTTTGCATTTGTGAGAATATGGGAAAAATATGTTGTGTATTATTCAAAAGACATGTACACATATATATAGGAACATAATGAGCCTAAATCTAATCCTACAAGATATAGACAAAATATATTATAACCATATATACAATATATTCTAACATACTAATATATGCTATCCATATATATCATATATTCTAACAGCATTCATCGGGGAATTTTGTAAAGTATAAATGTCTTTCTCTCTTATCAATACATTGCTTTATAGGTAGTGCAATCTAATTCAAAGGAACATTACTGAGAGCAAGCACAGGAGAATGGAACAAAATATTAATCAAATTTAGAAGAATAAGGGCAAAATTAGATCAATCATCGGACAATATTAATATATAGACGAATAAAAATTA